GGGTGGGGTAGGGTTGGGGGTGGCGCGCGGGCATGCGCGCGGGCGGACAGGCGCCGCCGCAGTCGTAGGGCTGAGCCGGCGCGGCGGCAGCGGCGGCGGCGCGCGTGCAGCGTGCCTCAGCTGCCTAATCGCTCTGCTCACACGGAGCGGAGTGACACACAGAGTGCTGCTCCGCGCCCGGGCGGGTCAGCTGGTTTTGCCTGCCGAGGAAACATCAACTCGAACACCTGGGTGTGCTCGTGTGATGACGAACAAACAAGACGCACACCTGATCATTTCTTCCAGATTCAGGTTGGCCGCGGGAGGGGTGGCCGGCGATTGGGGGGCGGAAGGATCGCCATGCTGCCTGGAGTCGCCGCCAACTACCACCGCCAGGTCCGTTTCTGCACACAACAGCGACGAGGCGCATCCGCTGGCTGCCGCGGCCGGCGGGTCACCATCGCGGCTGCACGTGAAAGCTGCATCGGCGGTGGCTGCCGGCGTCGGGCTCCGGACACGGCTCGCATTGAATGAGGCCTGTACCGTGCGGGTGCGCATCAAGCGAGCGTGATGCCTTATAGACGATTTGCGCGTGGGCAACACGACACCACCAACTGGCCCAGGTCACCAGCAAGAACGGGCCGATAGCTATCCCACGGGCCCAACGCCCGCCACCAGACAGCGCTTGCAGGCGCACCGCGGTGTGCACGCTGTAACATGCTGCTGGAACCCTCTGCACCGTTCCTCGCTGCACCAGAGGGCGCCCAAGCTAGGGGCTGCCGATCACTGCGCGCGCGTGGCCTCCGGATCGCGCTGGGTGTCCACCCTGTCCCCAATACGCAAAGTAATAGCCATCAATCCACAGGCATAGGGCCAAGGCGAGCCCTACCTCGCGAGCGGAATCATTCTGTTGCTGAGATGAGCCGTGCACCGTCGCGCAGCTGTGCTCACTCTCCGCCGAGGTACACCCCGCAAACCCAAGCTGCTGTAGGCTGCAGCAGACCTCACGGGAGAGCTTGGGGCCCGCGGGCTCCATCGCAGGCTGTGCCACGGAACCGTCTCTGGCTACTTATAAACTTCCTCTACTCTGAAGTGATACGCGTGCACAAACGCGAGGAACGATCCATCGTGGGCTCAGAATCGGTTGGTGCGGGTAGTCGACGCTGAGTGACACCGTATCACCCACAGGGGCCACCTGCCCGATACGCGGGCGCTGAATTTAGGTCCCGCAGTCATCAAAACACCACTTTGCGATCGGACCCGCGCCCGATCCCAGGGTTCGTGGGTGGTGTGACCAGGCGCCGTCGGGCGTCGCAACTCGGCATCCTTGACGAGTGCGCACTGGCCGCCCACACCTGCCTGATCAAGGCGCCGCGTTCCGCTTCAAACAGGACCTCGCCAAGCACATCGGCTCGCCTGCAGTCGTCGGGGAGGGTGCTGGATCCGGGCGGCACACGCCCACAGCATGTGTGGCCACCAAGCGGCCACTGGCACCATTACAGCGAGCTGCGAGCAACTGGGCCAAATCGCAGACCCCAAAGACAGAATCTGGCCCCTTGAAGCAGCGCCTCGCAGCAGCGACGCCGCCCCAAACCACCCGATTACTACCACCAGCTGCCATGAGAGCTGCCACGGCTGCAGTCGGATCCCAGCACTGGCCCTTCAGAGAACGCCGCGCCGCGCGCGACGGCAGGCGCCGCGATGACGCCGCACTTCCCGGCGGCGGCCGCCGGGTCGCCGCCCCCTGCGATCCCCTGCTCGCTCCTCCTGCCGCTGCCCTCCGCCTGCCGCTCGTGCTCGCGGCACGTCCCCGGCCCGCCCGGCGGCGCCGCGGCGGGACGCGGCGGCAGCTCCAGCCGGGTGGAGCCTTCTGCACTCCCGCAGGGCGAGATGCGGCAACTAGTGCCACCACAGGTGGCTTGCGGCCGAAATGAAAGGCGCGGTATCACTACCAACGGCAGCGCGCGATCCCCCAACTCCCTGCGCCGCCGCCTCTCCGCCTCACTTGCCGCAGCCGCCGCCGCCGCGGACGCGCGCAGCAAAGCCACCGGCGGCAGCAGCCCCCGACCACGCGCGACCAGCCAGCAGCTGCCGCCGGCGGCGCCGCCGCCCGCGCTCGCCTGCGCCGCGGGCGCCGCCGACGAGCCCGCTAGCGGCGCGGGGGCGCCACGTCCTGTGGGGGCGGACGACCCGAATGGCGCCGCTGCTGGGGCGCAGGCAGGGCCCCAGTCCTGCACGCTCAATGCCTGCTGAGCGAGCCCCGCAAACACCGCCGCCGCCAGCCGTGACACGTATTCAACAACCTGGGGCGAGCGCGTATACAAGAGACAGTGGGTACGGCGGCCAATGGGTGGCTGTGAGGACCACCCGCGATTGCGGGGTGCCCTCGGTGACACCTGCCCAGCAGCACCGGGCGAGGGGGCGCCCGCCTGCTGCCCCGCCCCTCCTCCCC